TATGTGTGTGTATTTATATATACATAATAAATATACACAGTACACACACACACATATATTATGTAAACAAAAATGTTTATTTTGGATGTGATTAATCACGATTAATCGTTTGACAGCACTAATATATATATATATATATATATATATGCATATGCACAAAAGAAAGGGGTGTGTATATATACATAATACATTTCTGGTGTATTTCTTATAAATATAAAATGTTCTACTACATTTAAAACCATATAATATATACAGATATAATACAATATAAATAAATAAATAATAAACAAACAGCAAAATAAATAAAACAATTCATTAATTAATGTGCACAAAAGGGCTGCAAAATCTTAAACTTAAAAAAAATTAATATTAGAAATGTTGCCTTGTACTGAGTGCAAGTAATAAAATTACCTAAACTGAAATAAAAATAAATGAAAAGTAAAAAGAAATATTGAAGAAAACAAAAGCATAAAGTAAAAATGTAAATAAAAACTGCAAAAAAAAAAAGCTTAATTTGAATTAAGTGTCATTTATGCCATTTTCAAGTTTAATACTCTGGGTAAGTGGTTAACCCTTAATCTTAGTATGATCAATAGTAATAGTACTGTTTAGTGGCAAAGATCACTATTAATCTAATCCACTATATGCTGGCAGACATCGGTCAGTTCTGCTGTTGACCTTGAAAGCTTTGAATTTGGTGCGTTTGGATGCAGATTGTAGATCAGTATATGCAGTAATACAACAGGAGTGTGTAAGGGGATAAAACGCAGAGGGTTAGGAAATCAAAAGAGACAAAGCGGCAATTAAAAGCATGTAATCGAATTTGCACGTCCACAATGCAAACATCGCCAAACCCACGGCTGAAATCAAATCAGGGTAAATATACCAAGCACAGAGGGTGTAATAATGAATGACAGAGCTCCGTAGCCCTGACAGCCTATTTACATGCCGTGACAATCCAGTCCTTTCTACATTATTCATGTCCACAGCATGACAACAGCCAACCCTCCTCTGGAAAACCGAGCGGGAGAGAGGACAGCGGCTATCAGGTAAACTATGTAAGGCAATTTACGGCGTGTAAATGGCGAGTGTGACTTTAGACGAAGCCACGTTCCAGATAAGAGCATCATAGCTATGCCGCGCACATGGCCACGTGGGAACGGCACGTGGCTCTATGATATCCATTTACACAGGCGTCAGTAATTACCTCCGCCGGATAATACGGATATTTTACGCTGAGGAATTTGGACAGACGTTGAATAGTCGATTAAGAGCAACTGAATGGATTCTTTTTGTGTGCTCTGTGGGGCTGATCCGTTACGAGTTTGCTTTAGTATGCCAAACCACGCCGAGGAAGTGCGACTGCTGCCAGTGTGGATCTGAGGAAGAGAGTTTGCCGTCCCACCGAAGTGCTCTGATCTCATACCTGTACAAATTTCTTGCATCCAGCCAAGAGTTTGACAGGAAAATGTATGATTCTCTGTGCCAACATGATTTATTGGTGGTGTTTTTTCTCATGGGTTAGGGGGAAAAAATACAATTCTGATACGTTTACCTCTCGTCAATTGGCCGGTCGTTAAACGTCCAGCGAATCATTGGCACAGGGTATCCCTTCATGACGCATGGCAACAACACGCTCTCCCCGACAACCTTCGCCACAGCAACTGGGCCCTGGAGAGTCTCCAGTTTTTCTTCAACACCAGAATCTGCAAAAACACACAAAAATATCACAAATGTGACTATAAAAATATATCAGTAAACTCACAATTCAATGAACAAAAGTAATAATAATAATAAAATTATCATTTTACTTATGATAATATATTTAATGTATAATAATAATAATATAATAATGATAATATATTTATAATAGTATAATAACTAATTAACTTATTTGAATTAACTTTAAAAATGTTATAAGTGTGTATAAATATATACTTAATTTATATAAACAAACAGTATCATCTCACGAACATTTGAAAAATTAATCATTTAATCAATCGAAAAATGTATTTATTTTTATTCTACTTCATTTTATAATGTCTCCAAGATGCTTCAAGAAACTTACCTGCAAAGCTACCTGAGAAACTATGCGCAAGTGCACCGAGGGCAAAAGCTGCTTTAAACGCAAAGGATGGTCACATCAAATGTAGATTTAATTTAGTTAATAGAAGTTAATTGATAAAGAAAATCTATTTATGACATTATTTTTGACAGCATCCTCATTTTACAGCATTTTTACACAAGTGCCTGAAACTTGTAACAGTACTGTAGCTTTGCAGGTAGGTTTCTTGAAGCATCACGTATACACGACAACATTTTCAAAACGATTCGCGTTTACACACATCTGCGAAAACGGCCAAAATCGCTGTATTACGTATGCCAGGCCAGTAGTTGGCACTGTCACCTTGTTAGTAAACAGTACCTGTAGGGAAGTGACGATTATTTGATGTATATGATTCGTTTCCGCTGTTGATTGTAATATTGGTGAAGTAAATCCACACTTTGCTGAAGAAGCGTTAGCAAACTCAACAGCAGCAACAACAGTACCATGTACTCCGCCAATGTTGTGTATGTTTGTTCACGCTTGCCTTTAAAATCGACACGTACTACGCGTGTCTACATACCTAGCACGTACTACGCACACGCATGACGTCAGCGTTTTGAAAGATTCCCGTTTTGGGTGTTTACACGGAAACGACAACGGTGCCATTGTCAAAAACTTCCACTTTGAAACCCGTTTTCAAAAATATGCGTTTTCAGTCCCCAAAACGCCGTTGTCGTGTAAACGAACAGTCAAAACGCATACAAAGTTTCCCGTTTTTGGCTGAAAACATCTTGTAAACGGCCCCTTAGTTCTGAAGTATTTACAATCACAGCACACTGTGTGTCTGTCTGTACCTGCAGACACCTGTAGTTCTGCCTCCTCTGTGGTTTTGGCCGGTCCCAGGCCGTCTATGGCGCAGCGGTAGAGTCCGGCGTCGCTCTGGGAGGCGTTGCTGATGACCAGAGCTCCGCTGGGCAGCTGTATGACCCTGTCGTCCAGCTCCACGGGCCGACCATCCCTCTCCCAGCGGGTGAATGGGACGAGCTCTTCCGTCACCTCGCAGCTCAGCATCTCAGTGCCGCCCATGCGCACCGACACGCCCTCCGGCTGACTGAGGAAACGTGGAAGTCCTGCGAGAACGAACAGATCAGCTGCGTTACACTCATACAGTAAAGCTCACTTAATCTCTACACTGACAGAATGAAGAAATTAAGCGAGAACAATTCAAATAACCAACCCCGAGGAGTTACAGATGGAGATTAGATGCTTTGCTAACTCTGGAGAAATTAAGTAAATAACACTAATGGTCTTGTCAAACCAATTAGCAAATAAGCTTGGGAGACGAGCAGCCATTAAGCATGTTTGAACAGCACAGTGGAGGGTTTGTTCACGATCATATTCCACTCATTGTATTAATACACTGATTAATGCATACTTATTAATTGAAGAGGCTCATTTCAATGAAGAGAAACGGATTTGTCTTTGAATTCCAGTTTAACTCACCAACTTGCTAATTTAAATAGAATTTATTCAAAGTCTGCCCCGAATTAACATTCATCTCAAATAAGGAATAAAAGAACAGTTTTAAAGGAAATATATACTAAATGACCCTTGACTGTTGAGTGGTTTAAACTTATTAGATGAGGTTAATACTGAAAGCACTGCTTTAATATTCATAACTGAATATTTAAAAAAAAAAAAGGTAAACTGTGATCAAATCTTAAAGGCACAATATGTAAGTTTTCGCCACTAGAGGTTGCATTTACAAAACAATAACATGATGACCCTATAAAGGAGGATGTTCACTGATGAGGTAATGAATTAATTTTTTTATTACCTGTACCTTTCACAGCTATTCAGACAGAGAATAAATTATACAGAGAATGCAAGCAGAGAACATTTACATTGTCAAAGAACATTATGACTGACTTAATTCTAGCACGAGTTTAAGCACTCTAAAAAAACTCCCCTTATAATCAGTAAAGCTGTCTATACACGGTTTTATGAATGAATCTCTTGCATCATACGTACATCTGCACTTTGTTGTTTATGATGACAGAATTCGCATCAGAGCTGAATTCAGTCGGCGAGTGTGTGCACTGAACAAAAACTCATCTGAACGCCTCTGATTGGCCATTGTATTCATAAGCTCAACAGACTCGTGTGTGATTGGTTATAATGCTCAACACTGTAAAAACACGTAAAAAATCATGGCGCGACATAGATCAGATTTAAATTTAATGCTGCGGTCAACACTTTTCATTTCATTTTCATTTTATTCACGACAGCCGTAATGGATGTAGTTTAACTGTACAGCAGCATTTGTGTCCGTATGTTGCCGTAGTTTCTACAAGCGGAAACTGAGGATATGCGGATATTACGTCATTGATAGGTGACAATGACCAGGGACGAGTCATCATTTCAAATGGGAATTTCACTGGATTTACAAATCCTCTGGAATTTTTGGCATAACATAAATACATAGCTGCATAAATATATCACACTGTGCAAGTAGTTTTTGGATATTTTATTACAAAAATCTTACATATTGTGCCTTTAAAGTCCCTCTGTAGTCAAAAATGTTATCCCTTAAAACTCATCTTTGATCATCAAAATTATATATTTAAATGTTTATTCTTGTGAAAATAATTTTCTCATGCCTTAAAATAGCTTGAATGGAACGCTACACCCTTGCCTCATTTACTATACGTGGATCTATGAATACGCAAACTAGCCCCGCCTCCACTCAGTCACACCAGCCAGCGCCTCCTGATCCATGGATAATGACTGATAAAACTATGTTTTTCCTAGCGGACAACTACAGTGGATACTGTAACATTCGTTAAAGTTATTTACTTGATGTTGTGTCCTCAAAATGCCTTGAAGATTCGAATGCAGCCAAGTTTGTGCTTAATTCGCGCCCACGAGTAATGCGTGTGAATTGCGGATGCCAATGCGGGAGAGGTGGGTCTGACTCCGGGCTACTTTTACACTGTTGTCGCGGGTTATAATTCAAGTTAGCGGTTCTAAATTCATGTTAAACCACGGCTTCATGGGTTTTTTGCTGTATTTTAATTTTGGTTTTGTGCTGGTAATCCTATTGGTATATTTTGCATGCGATCTCTATGCGTGCCACGTTTGTATAAATGGAGAGAGGGATATGCTAATGATAGGAATCTATCCCTTGCCGTGTTTGGTTATTGAATTTTGTGACGAAGCAAACCGATGGCTGTTTCAAACCGAGTTTCTGTGACTGCCATTGGGAAACTACAAGTTTTAAGGAGAAAATACTCAGCAATGGTGTTGATTAATGGATTGGCACATGGTTTGTCTAAAAGCAAATTGAAAACACCACATAGACAAATAAACAACATAAAAAACTTGACTTTCACTACAGGGGGACTTTAACACAATATAATTTCTTTTTTTTTTAAAACACTCAAAAATATTATGTAGGTCATTTTCTAAACACACTTATATTTGGGGTGCTCCGATCGATCGGCCGGAGATCGCTATCGGCCGATAATCACATTTTATGACTCGATCGGTACCAACGCGTAACGACGTACATGATGCGTGGGGACATAAATGATTTGGCGCCGCAGTCATGTCATCGTCGGTGTGGAAATGCTATGACGTTTCGAGAAACAATGAAAAATTCGCAATTTGTCGTGTATGTTTTGCATGATGATACGACGAATGGATGGTTCATTTTTAACAGCAGATTCAGTGACGTTAGAGCTGATCTGCGCCTCACTGCACACGTCTGCGGCGCGTTACGGCTCCACGGGAACTGGAGCTGATCGCAGCCGCTCTAATGCTTGTGTTTATCAGCCAGCCCCCGGCACGTTTCTGAAGCGGCTCTCCGTGCTGCTTGGCTAAAAATAGTCTTTTGTGAGTTATCAGTGTGGAGGACGGAACAAAACCTCGTCGGAACCGTAAGGGGTAACGGTAACATAATACGCTGATCGTGGGCTGCTTTTGCGATGAAACAGTCTATATAAAGCTTGAAGCATCAGAATCGGTATCGGCCAATCACCATGACAAGAAATCGGTACTCCGTATCGGCTGCAAAAATCCTGATCGGAGCATCCCTAACTTACATATTTAAAAAAATTCTAAATTATAAAAAAATGCAGAATACACACAACTAAAAGAATAATAATAAAAGTAAAAAAAAATGTTTTTTGTTCTTTTCCTCCTTTGTTGTGAATATGACAAAGGTAAGTAATGTATGTAGAAGAGAAAGAAGAGAAAGATGTAATCAACAAATACTCATTTAGCACAAGAGTGCACTAAATATTTAATATTTCATATAAAAGGAAAAATAAAACACTTTGTGCCATTAATTGCTTTGAAAATTCATCAAAAGATGAAGCACAAATAAACAGATCTTAAACACCACTGAGAATCCTTACACACAAACACAAACACCAAGAAGATTGTTATTTCTCTCTTGTTTTTAATCTCACGCTATCGAGCCTGCAGAAGTTCAAAGATGTTCCTGAAGTTTGTGGAAGAGCTTTATAATTCACCGTACAGACTGCACTCTCTCTAACAGCTGAATGAATGAGAGCCCAGAGCGTCTCTGACATCCTAATGCTCTCCTGGGCTATTTATGTGTCCTGGCTGATGTAGGACTTGTTGTGGTCTAGAAGCACTAGAGTGGTGTGTGTGTGTGTGAGAGGTCTGCTGACAGGTCTGTAAATTAGCCCGAGCCTATGACCCGATTCACAGACACACACACATAGCGCTTTTAACGGCACACAAAATCCCAGAGCACTGACGCAACAGGCCTGAAGACACGACACTCACACGGTTCTCCTTCAGTGAAGATGTGCGACTGCATCAGGACTCAAGCTGGGCAAATAAGGACAGAACAATGTGCTGTTGGCAGATGGAGCCACTGTGTGTAAACACTTTACTGAGCCTGTCAGAGAGAAACTCGTAGTTCACATACGCAAACATACATTCAGACTAGACAAACACTAATACTCTGTCTGCATTGATAAGACCATCATAAACACACTGACAAACTCTACCAATACACACATGCATTAATTCATATGCACACACACAAAAACTCTAACACTGCTTAATTTACTTAAACTAGCACTAGTACTACTAAACTTAAGTTGGCAGTTGTTCAAACCTGTGGCACTAAGTATTAGATTTCAGCATTGTGCAAAAAATCTTTCAGATCACCTTTGCAAGCACATAGCAACACTCAAGACACTCTTGTGTTGGCTAGTTTTGTACCCATGTTCCTCTAGTGCATTCATTCATTCATTGAATCACACAGAATCTGTGGCTCTGAGTTGTGAAGCTGAGCGACAGAACATCAAACAGCTGCTCTGACAGCCTGCTGGTATTTTGAGAAGGAATACATGAAAATCCCAGCACACCACACACACACACACACACACACACACACACACACACACACACACACACAAAACCTGCACACGAGAACT